TTTGGTTGAGTCCCCGACGAGCGAGGAGAAGGAGGTCGTTCCTGAACCCACGCCGTCGGTTGAAGTTGTGGAGATTCTGGGTGAAGACTCAGACTCTGAAGAGAAAGCTCCGGTGAAGAGTGAGCCCATCGAGGTTCAGGGGGATCCGGAGGTTCCTTCGAATCAATGTCCTGAAACCGGAGTCTCGAATGTCGAGGGAGTCTTGGCAATCTCAGCACCTCGAGTCGTGCATGAGCACGTCGAAGCAATGGCGAAAGCCTACGTGGCACAGCAAGTTCGGAGATGGGAGCAGACATCTTCAGGGCGAGTCATTCCCCTGAGTCCCGTGTATGCGTGGCCTGCAAGCACTCCAGACTACACAGCCTGGCTTGAAGCGGGGAAAACTACGTCGAAGACTACGTCAGATTTCCTGACACAACAAGCGAAGTCAAGATGCAATGTGGGTCGCGGACTTGAATGCTACGCGTCTGGGTTTCGGAACAGCTCAGGATCTTCTGGGTGTCCAGGTTCCGACTGCCCTGTGCGAAGCTCACCAATGCGCGGCGCTGTTCCAGACGTTGTTGTTTGAGGCTGGTTTCCAGTTCGACAACGTGATTCCTGAGTGGTTCCGAACCAGAGCCTCCAAGATCCCGACTGATCAAGTTCGGCTGGATTCTGAAGTCATTCAATGTCTTCTGTCAATATAATTCATTGAATGGAATAAGCTCACGGATGGAATTCACTACGAGGTCCGAAGAGTCTCGGGAACAGTGGGCGTCGGATAATCTGAGGACGTGTTGGTGACGGATACGGAAGCTGGCCTTCTCGGTGAGAGCTTCCTCAATCAGCATCGATCCAGAGTCCGGACAGCTAGAAGCTTTCAGGGATCGTCAGATGGAGAGCCACAGTTGAAGCGGCAGCAGAACGCTCCGCCGAGACCACTGTGAAGCATCCAAACATCGCTGTCGAGTGGTTTCACACTACCAACTCCATCCGAGTCAGGTTCCAGCTTAGCTAAAGCAGTTCAAGGGCTCAAGATCGAGAATGCTGAGTCCAGTGGCGTGTCGGATTCTGTGCCAAGTATTGTAGGACCGCCAGGTTCCTCTCAAGGGTACTCGATCCACACTTCGTCTGGAATCGGCACGTCCCATAAGAGCTCCGCATCTTCAATGATGTCAATCCCAGAAGGAGGAGCAACGCACCCTGGACAAGCAGTTGTCATGCATATCCAATCGACAGGTGTGCAGAATGCTGAAGGCGGCGGAGGCGGAACTCTGAGTCGGACGTTTATTCTCGCTCAGCGGTCTGAACCCCGTCAGGAAGACGTCATCATGGACGAGTCTAGTGACTATGCGGATTCAGAAGCTACCCTCGCTCGAAGTCAGAACCCAGGCACCATCGACGGCATCGGCGTCACGAGAGCCAGGGACACGGGCGCGAAATGAGTACGTCTGAGTACACATCGTTACAAGGCGGTAGTCGGACACGTTCCTCGAAGCGTAGCCAGAGATCAAGTCACTCGGATCGATCAAGTCACGTGGGAACTTCTCGCCGGTCTGGGGCGTCCTCTGCGTCTTCAGGTGCCGCTCAAGTACCCATCAACACGATGCTACAACAGCAGGCAGGAATGGCCGAGCTGCGTAACCAACAGGAAGCGTTCCATGAGAGACAACAGCCGATGAAATCGGCCATGCAAGTCCAGACGCAGTGGCAGCAACAGCAAGATCAGCTTCAGAAGCAGCAATTGCGGAACAAACAGCAGATCGAGCGACGACTAGAACGCCAACAGCATGGCCTCTCGGAAAATATTCAAGTGCTAGCCGACAGACTTGCTCAGCTGGAAGGATTGAAGCCTCAGGCTCCTGAGTACGAACGAGGAGCGAAGCCTGGCTCACCATTCTTGATCCCTGGACACTCCCAAGCTCAGAGATCTCCGAGTCCGAAGTCAGAGACCCTGATTTCGAAAGTCCACTTTGAGGAATCACTCGAGCACGAGAAACGGCGCATGCAACGTGAGTTCGACGATAAGCTGGCTCAACAGGCCCAGAGTGCTGATGTGGGACAGAAGAACGCCCTAAATGCTCTGGAGGAACGCGAGCGAATGCTCAACTCGCAATGGTCTAACTTCGAACAGCAACTCAAGAAGCGCGAAGAAGAATGGAAGCTTGAGAGGGAAGCAATGGCGACCGGCATGCAAAACCTGATGTTAATGGTACTTCAAACCGCCCTGTCCCAGATTGCCCCTCATCAGCAACTGGCATACAGTCAGAGTCTCTGAGTTCCCCTGATCCAGCAACTCTGAATCCTGTTCGAGCAGTCGTGGCCAAGAATAGCCAGACGCCCATCGTAGGTGCGTCACCGACAGTGGCATCCGTCCAACAGAGTGTTGCAATGGACCAAAAGCGAGAGATCAAGCGCGAGACACCTCCAGTCAAGAGCGCCACTCACCGAGAGTCGTCGAATACGTCGCAGACTTCGTCGGCCGTGAAACGAACGGAGTCGCAAGTTGCGAGGAAGACTGCCGCGCGAAAAGGAAGAGCCTGCATCATCGTCGTCGAAGAGGTCACAGCCGCAGAAGGCGAAAGAGCAGGCTGATCCTCCTCCGGACGACCCAGATGACTCGTAGCCCAGCGACAGCGACAATTATGCAAGCCGAGGAGGAGATTTCGACTCTAGTGACGCTGAAGGCTTTTCAAGTGAGGATGAAGACATCGGGGTCACTACGACGACGAGACGACAGCTGATGGAACAACGATTTGGAATTGTAGACCTTACATTGGCTACACCAACCTGGAGAAGTTCGACGAAAAGGCTTCCAAGGACAATCGAGTCAACTGGTGGGAGCGATTCTCGAATATGGCATTACAGGGATTCTGGTCAGATACGATGAAGATTGGGAGCCGGATGCCCACAGCAATCAGGGCCTGGTTCACGCAGCTACCTAAGTCACGATTGGAAACAAATGTCGCGCAGATTCAGGAAGCTGTATATCGGTACCACGGGCTCGTACTTGGAAAGGTACTTCACGATGAAGATGACCGACCATGAGACTCCATTGCAGTTCTTCTATCGTCTGGATGCGGCTGCGGTTAAAGCTGAAGTTAAGTTCAAGTCGAGCCCTAAGCTACGCAAGTCACACATCCGAAGTTTCATCAAGAAACTTCGAAACGATCAGCTGATGACAGCCCTCTAAGGCCACAGGTTTCAGAGCATCACAGACTTGGAACGAGCATTACGTCGTCATGAAGATGTGTGGCGTGAAGGGGATATGACTCTCCAGCTCCCAAGAAGCCCAGAGACTTCTGTGCCGATAACGTTCACCAAGGCCGGTCTCAGAATCGTGGACCGACTAGACGTCAGGGGCGTGCCTTCATGACTCAAGGCGAGGATGAGTTAGCACAGGACTCAGAGTTCCAAAGGGTTCCAACACGAGTCTCAGAATCTTGAAGTGTTTGCAGATCAAGCAGAGGCGCACTCAAAGCCGATTTCAGAGTTCCCCAATGGTGGAATTGATGGAGAAGTCTTTCGAGTCGCAGAGAACTAACACTGGAAGTCATCCGGGTCAAGGTGCAGCCCGACCAGAGAATTGGGACGTCTTTTGTGAGAAATGCAGGAAGTGAGGACACCCTGAAGTCAACTATTGGACCGTAATTATATGTGAACGATGCCAAGCCAAGGGACACCCGGGCAGAGTCTGTACCAGACCCCCTTGTGCCGAATGTGGAGGTTTTCACGGTGGAATATCGTGTGAACAGTGGAAAGCTTTTCAGTCAGTGATGACACTGGCGAAGCAAGGAAATGCAAGTGAATTACCGACTCAATTTCGAAGTCTCCTTCAGACCAAGGATCACGCTTCAGGGGCGCAGCAGTTAAACCAATAAGCCCGCCGGATGGGGATCCTGTACGCGACGGGCCTAAGAACCCCCCTGAAATGTGTGTGTTAGTCTGTATAGGACCAGAACGAAGGACGCAGCTACAAGATAACCAACAATGCATGAATTTAGTTCAAGATGAAATCATCTACCCTGAACAATTGTACTCAGAGTACCAGCGTTCAGATGACCCGATTCCAGAGATCTCTGAGCCTGAATCTCAGGATCCCTTGGAAGTGCCGTTGAAACCGGGTCAGAGGTATGGATGGTGGGAAAATCACGAACATGCAGACATGCACGGATTGGCGACGATACATGGAGCTGTGAACGACTCCAGAACCAGAACCTTATTGGACACTGGTGCGTCCGTGAGCATTATGAGTCTTGATCTAGCGCGTAAACTCAAACTCAGGCTCCGGACACACCGTCAAATCAAAGTATCTGGGTTAGGAGGAGTGACCACTTACATTACTACTCTTGCCCGAGTGAAGATAACTCTCGGATGGAGTGTGGTGTACGTCCTGAACATCTGGGTTGGAAATATTGGAGAAGGTGTGGATGTTCTGCTAGGCATGGTGCATTCAGCAGGCGTCCGACTCTGCATACTAGAAGGCTTAGTCAAGCTGCCAGACGAAGAAACTGTGGTTATGTATGATGATAATCCCAACGTCCCGTGGTATGGATCTCCCTGTGTGCCCAGAGGAAAGCATACACTTGCATCCTGGCCAGGACGCTATTGTACGAATTCGGCATGGCCAGTCCAATCCCCAACGTGAGTTGGTGTGGGCTGGGAGAGGTAAAAACTGAGTGACCAAGGTCCTGTATTCTGCCAGATCCTGGGCGACTGCCGTCAAGGTGGTCAATGTTTCAGACCAGAATGTTTGGATTGATACTAGGACGGCTGTTGCGCGTATTGTGGAGTACGGACAGTTCCCAGGCCAGCCTGGATTCGTTCGCCCTGGTAAAGCGCGGTATGAGGAATGACAACAATTGATCCATGAGTGAACCGTGTCACGCCAAGCAAGGATGCGTGCTGAACGGTTGGAGCAGATTCTCAGGGAAAGGGAACCTCCGTGCACCCAAACTCAGAGATATCAGTGGCCTACTAAACGCTTAATGCGTCCACAGTCCCAAGCCGCTGAAGTGAAGATGGTGAAGTTGCAAGAGAAGCCGAAACCACTGGATATGACGCTCAAGATCATTGGGAATTCGGCAGTCGTCAGGACCACGGTCGTGAGAAACCCCGAGGAAACTAAGGCCTGCCCTAGGCCGGTAGAACAGACCCATCCTGACTTGAGTCCAGAAGTCGATATCCTGGACCCAGATAGTATGGCGGATGTCGCGAATAATGCCCAGGTCCCTGAACCGTCAGTGGATGCCCAGTCACAGACGGGCTGTTCGACACCGGTTCAAAGGCTGGAGGTAGAATATGCTCGGGTGATGCGAGTCTCCGCCGAAGAACTGGACCTAGAGGCTGCTGTGTATCTCAGGGAAGGAAGTGACTTGATGACGCACTTACGAGACCAACTCATCATGCTCCCGGAAATTGAGGAACTGACCCCAGAATGTAACATCGACGAAGCTAATGTCGGAGTTCCGGGGGTCACAACTCCAGAGATGGAAGCCAAGATGAGAAGGATCCTGAAACGCCATCGTAGCATCTTCCTGGGAGATGGCAACGCAGCTCCGGCTCCTGCTCCGGCTAGGGGCGTAGTGTGTGATATCGCCGTCGGTGAAGCAAAACCAGTGGCTTTACGTGCGAGACAGATTGCCGCACCGTTCTTGGTGAAGGTGTTTGAACTCTTGAAGAAGTTGTTGGAGGCAGAGCTCATTGAGCACTTAGAGTCCGAGTGGTCCTCACCTATTGTGATTGTGCTGAAGAAAAACGGCATAAATATCCGTATGTGTATTGACTACCGACTTCTGAATCTGCTCATAAAGTTATCTCGCTATCCTCTACCTTTGATCGATGACCTACCGGTAGACTTCAAATCCGCGATGTGGTTTATGAGTCTCGACATGGCGAGTGGATTCTGGGCAGTGCGAATGACCGAACATGCAAAGTTGATCTCTGCGTTCGTCAGCCCGTTCGGCCACTTTCAATGGCTCAGGATGCATTTTGGATTGAAGAATGCGCCGTTAATTTATCAGAGTATCATCAACAACTGTCTGTGGGGATTCATCCGTCTACCTCCTGAAGAGGAAGCGATGGTTGACTCAGATGTTCTGGAGTTCCTGAATCTCGAGACTTAAGAAGCTCTGAAACCTGAAGTAGATATGCGGGACTCAGAGATTCCTTCAGTGGACATGACTGTATTCCGACGCAATATCCCGGCTCCATCACAAATGGGTCCGATCCTAGGAAGAAGCTCGTATATTGACGATATCGCCCATGAGGCGTCGACCTGGGTCCAACTATGTGAGGTCCTGGACGCGTTGTTGTACAGACTACCATACTGGAATATCTCTGTGAGCTTACCGAAAAGCGAATTCGGAAAGTTAACCATCCCATTCCTCTTTCATGAAGTGAGTGCGGACGGAATCAGAGACTTACCGAAGATTGTCCAAGTCATAGAGGACTTACCTTTCCCGTCGACGTACAAGGGAGTGCAGTCCTTCTTAGGAAGTCTGAATTATTACAACAAGTTTATTGAAGACTTACCTGTAGTTGCCGCTGTGCTCTATGACCTCGACGAAGAACGTGTACGTGCGGGACGGAACCTGGAAGCTGCAAAGGATCCTCCAAGATCGTGTCGACCCGCTGCTGCGACATCCAGACAGAACCAAACCTTTCGTGATTATTCCGCATGCCAACCCGTGGGCGGCGTGTGCCGTTTTGGGTCAGGAGCATAAAGGACTCATACACCCAGTACGATTTACTGGTAGAGTGTTGAAAGGATCAGAGGTACGTTACCACATAGCTGAGAAGGAGGTGCTCGCAATCTTGCGGACTCTGGAAGTTTTCAGACCTCTGATCCATGGATCAGAATTCCCAGTTGTGGTGTATACGCGCTACTCTGTGTTAAAGTGGTTACTAGGGTCCAACACTGCAGATGGGCGACATCTGAAGTGGGGGTTGAAACTATCAAGATGGACGCTGGGAATCCATCGGACTCAGAAAGATGAGGACGGCCTCGCGGCCATCCTTGGGTCTGGTATTACTCCCAGGGAACATTTAGATAAAGTTGCAGAGACCCTGATTCCGTCCTAGGGGCGTCTGAAAGTGATGCCACCTGTGAGTCTGGAAATTTTGGACGCGAGTTACCAAGGTTACGTTCTGAGTTTTGATGGCGCGGCGAAGGTTTCTACTCACCGAGGAAGTTGTGGATGCATACTGTGGAA